TCTGATTTTGGTAAAGTGATCCAGAGAGGTCATATATAATTCAAGATTATGATAATGAATTTGTGCCTTACATATTACTTGGGGTGCAACTGAATAGTTAGAGTTCTCTTCCCTTACCGTTTATTTTCGTAATTGTGGAGAAAATAGTTTAACTTCTTATAGTAATTTTAAAAAAGGTTTTTTTAGGAACTTCTGGTGAAAGCAATATTCCTCTTTACAGGAAGGACTATAACTCTGAGAAAAGGGCCAGGATCAATTTCTAATATCTGTTGGATCTTACAGGGCATCTAGAAGCTGTTAGAAGCTGTTGCCAGTCAGTGACTTAGCTGGACCAATGTTATGACAAAATCCACAACTAACCAAGATTTTGGCATAGTATAAGTTCAGTTTCCTGATTTGCACAGAACTCTAAATCATAATGGAGAGTATCATGTATCTTAAAATGCAAACAAAATCACATTCTGTTTTGTATTACTTGTAAGGCAAGTGTATTCCTAAATACAATCCTCCCTAACCTGGTTAAGAATCAATTGTGCTTTGCTTGTTCAATTATGAGAATTGAAACCTAACTCATTTGGAAGGCAACAGATCAGGGAAGGTTGCCTATTGTTTCCAAAATTACTCTTTTGGTAATCCTGTGAAAGATTGGCATGAAATAGGTAAAGGAAATTGCGTTATGGGCAGAGGGGGGATTGTCTTCCTGATTTCAATAGATATCATGAAGATAATAGTGGTGCAAATGAAATAACTGCTATGCACTATTATTGAAGTGAACTGCCCTTAGGCAGACTTCACTATGTACAAAAGCAATACACCAAATAGGCTGTAGTTTCTACGATGTCTTCTGCACAATTCTTTATAAAGGCAAGCTTCTTGTATCAGAGCAACACAAAGGGATTGGGCTAGCAGGCAAATAACAAACCTTTATCAAGCAATTTGTCTGGGAATATTTACAGATTGAATTAGTTATGTTAGGTTTAGTAACATACCAAAATAATCAAATCCCCTGTTCATGATGCAAGATTCTGTGGCATTGATTGCTTGGATCTTATATTTCTCCAGTGGCCCCAGAGGGAGTGCATTGTAATCTTGTTGCCATTTGTCATAGCCATGGTAGCGCACTGATGCACCACACCGAAGGAGCCACTCTGAAGCCGCTCTATCTGGACCAACAGCTTGGATTCGTTCTTTGTCAACCCTGGCAAGGAGGCATCACAATGAGTTCTTTCCACTATAGGCAGTATCTTCAAATCAACATAAACGGTGTAAAAAACCACAGATTAAACTAGTGTTTTAAAAATTGGCGGTTTTAAGATATGTGAACATGCTGGTTGGAGAATTCCAGCAGTTGAAGTCCATGCATCTAAAAGTTGCAAAGTGTGAGAAATACTGGATTAAAGATTCATTACATACAGATAGTTCTTGACTTAGGACCATTCATTTAAAAATGGTTCAAAGTTATGACAGAAAAAGTGATTTATGACCTGTCATCACACTTATGACCATTGCACAACCCCCCACAGTCATATTGCAATTTGGGCTCTTGGCAGATGGTTTGCATTAACAACTAGTTGTAACATTCTACAGTCATATATGAATACAATTTTTTTGAACTAACCAGCCAGCTGTATTTAATAGACAGGCTTGAAATAAAAGTCCTGGGGATATGTGAAAATTATGAGGATCATGGCAGACAAGGAATTTGTTTTTTTCCTTAGGTGATCCTGAAGAAACTATCTCCCCTGTATAAATAAAATATTACATCTATTAATAGCCTTTGTTCCTTAACGCTAGAGCATTCAGATGAAATACAATGGGCCTAAATAAGACAAAGTAGATTTCTCCCAATTAATTCAACGCAAATTACAATTCTTCTTTAGGGTTTTAAACTAGTTTGACCAGATCACGGGAATATTTATTTACTTATGTATTATGTAATATCCCACCATAATCATTTAAAAAAACTTAGCGCTCACAAGAGATAGCAAAAAATACGTAATTAAAAAATACAAAAACATATATAACTTCAAACAGCATCTGCTGTCAATTCTCCTTCAATCTTCTGGAAATGCTCCATTTTCAGCAGTTTCTGGAAGGTCCCTAAAGTTAGGCCAATCAAGCTTCCCACAGGAGGCTGTTCCATAGGGCTGGCCATACATAAATAACACCTCTGAGCTTTGGCCCTCCTGACCTCCCAACCAGCTGCTTTGCCTGGCATGATTTCAGAAATTAGCTGTATTAGTTATCTAATGTTAGGGTCAGCCTTATATTTGTACACTTCTGTGGAAGACAGCTGCTTAAAAAATAAATGTAGTGCATTCACTAAGTAAATCATTGTGTAGGCCAGAGTGGAAAATAGCCTTGGGGGAAGAGAGTTAAAGTTTTCCTATTAATAGACTCCTCCCCCAGCCCAAAGAAAGTTGAGAAAAATACTGCATGTTATATGTAACTTATAAATCATTTCCACCAATAAGTGTGGGATTCATTCACACAATAAGAAAGACATTTATTTTAGTTTTTGGCTTAATATGCTATATGAATCCAACCCTTGTGCTTTAAAAACCTTTGTTTCTGCATTAATGTGTTACGAGAACCAAGTTAATTGTAGCTAAATCCAATTATAAACAAACCATGATTCACATAACGTATTATAAACTCAATCGTAATTAGCGATCTTGAGAACCCTTTGGTGAAAAGATAATATATTAAATAAAAATAAAGAATAACAGAATAGCCGCCACTTTGGCTGTGAACATTTTGGTTTAATCTGAAACTACAACCTCAGTCAAGGTCAAGATGAAGTTCCTGCATTTCAGGATAAGCAATGTGGGTCCTGTGGCTGCTAGTGCAGGGGTTCTCAACCTTGGCAACTTTAAGACTTGTGAACTTCAACTCCCAGAATTCCTCAGCCAGCTTTGCTGGCAACTGTGCTAGTGTCTCTCAGAGGTTTCTCTTCTAGCCTAGGAGTCCCTGCCCCTCACTTGACTTGTTGCAAAACAAAGCACCAGCCTTTAACATTGAATGACTATTCTGGGCTCCATTAAGTTCTCAGAAAATCATTTAAATACCTAGGGAAATACCTAGTGGAGCTACTACAATAGTCATTCTGTGCACTCATCAAATGTATCCTAAACCAAAAAAGTTGCTTAATTCTGCTGTAATCAAACAGGAATACTTATTTCTACACTACCTTTCTGCGAAAACACTCAGAGTGCTTTACAGTCATTAAAACTACCAAGAATATAATCAATGCAACTGAAAATAAAAATTAAAAATGGCTTTCATCTTGGCCCTATGATCTCATATTCTAACATTATTCAACTCAGTTCTCATTAAGGAAGCAAACCGTTTCATCCCCAGAGAGTTCATACATGTGTAAGGTTTTCCACTTAACCTCACAATTGCCCCAGCATTACTCAGGAATTTAAAAGAGCCAAAGAAACTCCTGAGCCATATTAGATATATTAAACACTATTAAAAGATTGCAATCTCAAGAAGACAATCTCTTTGAATTCAGGGTTAAAAAGCCTCAGATTTCAAGTCAGAAACCAAAGATTAATCATACATTCACTCAACCAAAAAGTTCCTTGTATACAGAAAATTATGCTAGGATTCCTGTTCCCACTTTCTGGGAAGCATTGAATAACTTTCTTGCAGTCCCAAGGGGCAGGCACTCTATCATTTGTTTTCCCTAATTTTGCAGCTTCAAATTTTAAAAAGTCAGGCTCCTTTGTAGCAGAGGTGTTCCATGAATTTCAAAGCACTTGTATTGAATCATAAAAAGTGCACACACACCCAATTAATTTCAATATATGAGGCAAGATTGCCAAGTAGATATGAGCTTACAACTCTGTCTGCAACTTTCCCTAGCAAGTGCCTCCTACGGCAGGTCATGGCAACCTGGAGAATCTTTCCTACTATCATGAAAGAGCTAGGAAAATTCAAACCCCAGCTCACTCTTGGAGTGTGCAATTCTCAAGGCTGGTGAGAAGGCAATCATATATACAACTAGTTTCAGCTGGCATTGTACAAGCAACTTATTACTGTCCTTTATGGAAACTTCATTTTTCTTACTGATTGAATACTGCGTTTAACCATCCCCAGAAATGCCTCCGCAGACCACCAGGCGGCTGTCTCTTCAACATTTTCGTTTGGTTTATCAGCACTTCCGTCAACATCATGTAACTTCTGAAAGAGATCGTACGGTAGTAATGACAACAACTCAGTGGATTTCCACAAATCAGTCACATTACTGTGGTCAGTAACTTCTGCCCCGGGATGACGAGGCACATATAGATGGATTTGCACAAAAAAGCGCATTATGGCTCAGTGCAGTCCATTAATTATCCATTATCTCTGCACGATCTCGACTACAACATTGCGGCGAATTAGGGCAGTTGCCGCCATACGGCAAGAAAGGAAAGGGACAATGGCTGATGGAAAAAAGCTCAGACGTTTGGGGCTACTGTATTTATAGTAGGCAAAAGTCCCTTCCACATCTCTCCTTCACCCCACAACTTAGACCTTCAGGCCTGCCCAGCAATTCAGCACGGTGGAAGAGTCTCCCCAGCCCGGCTCCCGGGAGCCGTGCAAGGGCCGATGCCCCCGGGATTAGCTCCGCCTTGCCAAATCGAGGAGGGCTGCTGCAAAGAGGATCGAGGGGTGTTGCAAGCACACCCGCCAGCGGGATGAGATCACAGCCGGCGAGAAGACTGCCCCGACCTTCCCTCCCAGCGAGCCCGGCTGCCTCCCTCTCTGAAGGCCCGGAATGGCGGCCCCTTGTGGGAAAACGCACCCCGGGCAGCAGGACCCAGGCGGGATGGCGCAGTGCTTCTGGCATTCCCTCCGCCTCAGCGGGGTTCCTTCAGTCGTAGCAGGCCCCGGCGGCCCTGTGCGCTTCCGATCGCTTCCCCCCAGCCACCCACCCACACTCAGGGCCCGACCTGTAGCGGGCGGAGGAGGAGGAGTTGAGCGGAATTGAGTAGACTGGCTCGCTTGCCCGTCCGCCCGGCAGAGCGCGCAATGATCCCGGCGTGGATTCGGGCCGTCGGCGGGGCCTGGCGCCCTTGTTGGGCCGGAGGCCGGGCGATGCCCTCGCGGCCTCTCAGCGCTGACAACTGCCGACGGAGGAGGTGAGGCGTCTGTCGCGACCTCCGCGAAGGGCGGCTCGTGGCGTCGGTTCTGATCCGCGATCTTCGCCCCCCTCCCCGGCCCTCTTCTCCAGGACAGCAGCTTGCAGCACCGAGCGGGGGCTTTGCCACGATAACTTTTATTAGCCGCTGCTAGGTAGATATTCAACAGGGGGAGTTTTCCTCTGCGGGGGAAGTCCTTAAAGGGAAAGAGAAGCAGCACAATTTAAACTAACGCCCTGAGCTCAAGTATTTCCCTGCTTGTTGGAATCTGAGATGAAACTACATCAGCTTTTATGCACCTCTTCGTTTCCATGCCAGGAACAACTACTGCACAGTAGAGTATTACTAAATAGAAATTCAGAAATTGGCTGGGTTTAAAGAGTACACCTAAGCCATAATGAGCTTTGTCTGGTTGACATATGCAGCAGGTGGGATGAATCCTGCTATTTTAAGCCATAGTTTTAGCTTTAGCTTGCGCAAATCAGACATGCAGCAGACCATGATTATTCAATACGTGGCTTAATACAGGCAATCATTGCCAAATAACTGTAAGCTATTATAGTTCGTAATAAAAGTTGTAATCTTGATTTAAAAAAAAATCTGGGGTATGTGTCTTGCAAATAATCTTTTCAAGTTTTTTGACAGTACCTTTGATGTCGTTGTCATTGGTGGTGGAATTGTGGGTCTAGCCTCAGCCAGGGAGCTTAGCCTGCGCCATCCATCCCTTGTTTTTGCAGTACTCGAAAAGGAAAAGGAATTAGGTATGATATCTGAACTTGATAAAACAGTTGACAGACTTCTGTATTATTTCCACTCATATGTTTAACTAATAGGAACAGTATTTCCAGGTATTAAATATTATACCGGTAACCATTGTTTAGTGACTGCCTTGTTTAACTACAATTCGCACTTAATGATGCTTCGATGCTTCGTGACCAGTCCTTGGATTTACAATCTTCACAGAGCTATAAAGCAAAGGAAAGCTGAAGTAAAACCATAAGCACAATTACAGTTTCATTTAGTGGCCACTTACCTTAACAACTAAGTTGCTGGTTTCAACTGTGGTTATTGAATGTGAAGTACCTCTAATTCAGGTAGATACAATCCATTAAAATCTTTTTGATGGGCCAATTTTACATCTCATTTGTCAAAAGACAACATTAAAATTCCTAGTAACTTATGCTATAATTTCTTGTGGCCACTCAATAGAAAATGGATGCATTATTTCTAGGATATGGATTTTGTTGTCTACATAGAATAGTATGATTTCTAGTTTTCTGACAAATGGAAGCCCATCATATCTATACAGTTCCCTGTATATCATAGTTTTGTATAGGACATTCATAGCTGTCTCAGAAAAAAAAAATCAGAAACAAACCATGAGAATAAAAAATCTATTTTCTATTTGCTTCATATTTTAGTTTGAGTTTCTTAAATCTTACTGCTTAACATAAAGGTTTATAATATTTTGCTATTATACATGCTGTGTGGCTATTTTATGCTTTTTTCTATTTTACCTTGCTATCTTTTCCTGAACATTGAAATTATGTGAACTAACTCTATAATACTTTGACTAACAAAATATTGTACGTATTAGATCAATCAAACGATAGATGTAACTTTCTATTTAGCTCTCCATCAAAGTGGGCATAACAGTGGTGTTATTCACAGTGGAATCTACTATACACCTGGATCCCTAAAAGCCAAGTTGTGTGTAGAAGGAGCTGTTCTCTGCTATGAATACTGTGACCAAAAAGGAATCCCATATAAACAATGTGGCAAGGTAGGGTAAGTGCTGAAATTTTGCTGTTAATCTTATACAGCTCCAAATACAGTTGATTAAGTTACTTAATTTTCTTGGTGTGGGCTATACTAGAGTGTTCCGAATGGTTCTAAAGAGAAGCAGACTTAATCATTCTACAACTCTAATGCACTTGATTTATAATTATTATTATCCAGACAGGAGAATTGGCCCAGGGATCATAACAATAGATACCCACCAATCTGGGATTGTCTGATTTTCTTCTCTACGCTGATTTTTTCATTACTGTTTTATAATCACCGAACCAACTTCCAATCATGATATAATCTGCAGTCTTAAGAGTTACACAGAATGAAATGTTACTGATCAGTCTTTTCCATCATTGTTCTACAGAAACCAATATATATGCTTGTATATGTATATTTCTTATGAATATGATTGCATTAACTCCATTTCTTTTGTTCCATTGCATTATTGTTATTTTATATTTGCAATTGCAATATATATGAGCACAATCAACATATCTATTTATCTATCTTAGAATAATTGTGTCCTTTGAAAAAACAAAATTATATGTCAGTTGATTTTGATGGTAGGGAAGGATGAGTAATGTGACATCTCCCTAAAAATGCAGCTGTTTACAATTAGATCTAAAGGGGAGTGATTCTGGTGCTGTTTAAATTGACAGAAAGAAGGCACAGGTAATTTTACTCACAGGAAGGCATTCAAGATTGTTACCTTAAACTGATTGCCTGAATAGAGATATGTGTCCGCCAAATATTAGACACTAGGCTTTAAAATAAATTTCAGCTATAACATATCAGGTTGTTTGCACTAGTTCAAACTAGGCTATTGCTAAATTCTTCCAACTGTTCCCAAAATAAAGTCTAAATTGAATGCCTTTTGTGTGTGTGTGTGTGTGTGTGTGTGTGTGTGTCTTTGAGTCAATTTTTGACACTTGGCAAGTCCTTGCAGTTTTCTTGGCATGATTCTTTTTCATAAATGGTTTACCATTGCATTCTTCTCAGGGCTGAGGGAACGATGGGCCCAAGGTGACCCAGCTGGCTTCCTGCCTAAGGCAGGACTAGAACTAGATTTTTTTCAACTTTGCCATGCAACCCGCAGATTCCTCAAATTTCATGGTGAGCTCTGATCTAAATATTAACCAAGCCTCACCTTGCTTAGCTTTGAAGCCTAGACAAGCTAGATGCTGCCACCTGCTGAGTCAACAACTTTATTTACTGGAGGCCTAATGGTGAACAAGATAAGATAAAACTATTGTTTTCCCTTAAAGTGTTGGGGGGGGGGGAAACACTTGCATTAGTGCTACTCTTTTTCCTTTTGTGATAAGAGAAAAATCAGCCTAATACTTACATCACCCAGAGAAGGAGCAGGTATATAATACTTGTAGCCAGTTCAGGTCAACTGACAATTACTTTAAAGACAAGAGACTCTGGCTTCTATGGTTCTCTGATTCAAAGAAATCAGAGTCAGTAGGTTTTTTTTATAAAGAAAGAATATCAGCAAGGAAAGATCAGCTAAAACTCTTGTGGCCCACTACTTTATTTGGTCTGAATAACTAATTTCCCTCCATTTCTTTTTCTTGTAGCTCTTTATCTTTGTATTGATTTCATAAACTTGGCACAAGCCATGTCTTTTAATTCCTCTGAGCCATTTGGGGAGAAAATGATTGTCTGAAAAGCAGGATAAAAAGAGTAAATGAGCATAGCAAATTTGTAACATCCCTACACTCCTTAATTTATTATAAAACAACTCCAACTATAAATGTTAATTTCTGAAAAACCTATAGTGCAGGTGGTCCTCAACTTATGACCATGATCGGGACCAGAATTTCCATTGCTAAGCCAGGTAGTTGTTCAGTGAGTCATACCGGATTATATGACTTTTTTTGCCACAGTGGTTAAGAGCAGTGCTTTCTTTCTTAAAAAAAAAAAAAAAAGGTGCCGGAACTCACACCGGTCCAAACCGCCATGCCTACCCTAAAAAAAGGTTCCATCCAAAAAAGGTGCCGGAACTCCATTCTGGGCATTCTATGAGAAAAAAAGCCCTGGTTAAAAGAATCACTTCAATTAACCCAGCTTCCCCTATTGACTTTGCTTCTTGGAAGCCAGCTGCAAAGGTTGCAAATGGTGATTACAGATGCTGCAAATGTCAAAAATAGATGCCAGTTGCCAAGCAGCCTAATTTTGATCATGTGACCTTGGGGTTGCTGCAACAGTCATAAGTGCGAGGACTGGTTGTAACTCACTTTTTTCAGTGCCACTGTAACTTTGAACAGTCACTAAGTGAATGTTGGTTGAAGTAAACCTGTACTCTTTCAGTTACAGTCTGTACTGCTGAAACGCCAACCCCTCCAGCTAAATAAAGTTATGAAGCACAGTTAATTTATACTGCAGTTTTAACTGAAATCTAATTTAATCAAATATTAATTCTTTTTCACACTTCACACTGTGGTTATCTCATGTTGTTCCCCTGTAGTATTTTTTGTTCCGTGGTTGCTCTAGTTTCTTATTTCCTTGGCAGCTGATTATTGCAGTTGAACATGAAGAAATTCCAAGACTCAAGGCACTTTATGAAAGGGGGATACAGAATAATGTTCGGGGACTGAAACTAATCTCTCCCAAAGAAATACAAGCCAAGGAACCCTACTGTCGGGTAAGCTGATTTCTTGCTGTGCAATATCTAATCTGTTCTGTACAAATAACTTATTAAATGTGGGGTGGTACCGGGCAAAGTGTTAGGTCAATATCTCCATGCAGTTTAACAATAGCAGTACATTAAATTAAAGTTGATATAGAAAATTAAATACAGGATTTCCATACTCCACTTCGTGAATTTTTGTGCAGGTATATGCTTTATTTGTACATAATGCAACTTCCTCTCCTTTTCTGTTGAGTGTCTTTCATTTTTAAGGCCCTCCTCATTCTTCTTCCTTTGACTCCTGCATTGTGGACCCCAGTTCTTAGTAAGATGGTCCTGTTCTAAAGTTTTCTTGAACAATCCATTTTGGCAAATATTAGTCAAGTGCCACTTAGACGTGTTTTAAATTGCCTTTCTGTCATTCCTTACCAATAAGCAGCACTATCTGAGTAAGCATGTAGACCTAATAAGCATGTAGGCTGCCTTACTGAAAGTTGCATTGATTCAAATGGCCCCTTCTTTGTTCTTTCAATATTGACCCTGTGAACAGATGTGTTGTCCCTGCATCCACCTTTTCAGGGGTTGATGGCTCTGGATTCCCCATACACCGGCATTGTGAACTATAGGCAGGTGACCCTAGCCTATGCTGAAGATTTTCAGACAGCTGGAGGTATTGTGTTGACAGAGTTCGAGGTGAAACACATGGATATGGCAAAGGAAAGTGCTGAAGGAAGTAAAGAAGGTAATTTACAGTAAATCATTCATTTCTGACACCTCTCTAGTTATACTCTTCCCCAATGTTCTTTGGAATGTTCCTCTCAGGATTCACTATAATTTGCAAACCTTGAACTCAATGTGCATTAAGATGTGCGTCCACCAGCATTCCCCTTGCAGTCCCAAGATACAAATGCCCTGTCTTAAGGGACCTATTTTACCTCCTAAAACTCTTCAAAAAACAAAAGTTGGTCACTTTTAGAATACATCTATTGACGTGCTATGCAAAATCCAGAGTGGCCTTTAGGCAGACACAAATGTACTCTACAACAAAGTTTATTTCATTTGACCTTAGTGTGTATGAACCAGCCCAAATTACCATGTGCAACAAACACTTAAAAACAATCCTGGCTTAGCACAGTCCATGCACACAGACTGTGTATTTTCTATGCATTTAAAGTTCTTGCAGGTTGAAATTGCCCTCAACTTTTAGGTTGCTTTGAATAAGTGGCATGGTTCAGATGATTATATTTCCAGAACTTCTTCAAAAATTGTTGTAAATTTGATAGATACTAAATTTTACTTTAGAATTTATTCACATTCTTAGCTAGGAAATAGGACAATTGAACAACTTTTTTTCTTTGTAATTTAATAAAGAATAACAAATATATTTTTAGAAGCCATTTCAATTGGTCCGCTACTTGGTTTGAAATCTGTATTTAAATCCTTTTACTAAAATAGAATTTAGCAAGAAAAAGTTGTTTTATGCTTCATCACCCCCAGAATTCAGAAGAAAATATTTTCTGACCACTTTCGCCAAAGGATAACTAGTAATGTAAAGGTTTACTATACTTTGAAATACACTCAGGTTTTATGAGAAGGACTGAATGGAGCCAAACTAAAAAAGGCCGAGAAAAGAAACACAAGTGTTTTATGGTCATAAAACGTGCTTAAGAATATATATTACAAAAAAGTCAGGGGTTTTCTCCCTTTGCTAGCATCTTAATCAAGATCCTTCTACAATAAGAAAAAGAAAATGGCTCCAGATGAGCTCACTTTCTCTTTAGAAACTATCACTTGGGTTTTAGTTTTGCATAAAGGATAAAACCAATTGTTTCATAACCCATTTAAATTCATTTCATCTTATTATTTGTAGGGATGAAATATCCAATTGTGGTTAGAAATTCAAAGGTAAGATAATCATTCAATTCAGTGTTTTAAATACATATATTTGACCTGGTATTTTTTACTTACTATACATAAAAAAGATTTTACTTTACTTGCTGATTTAGTAAGTTAATAACTTTAGTTACTTTTATATTACACTCAGCTTAGAATGCTATTTTTGTATATGTTTAATTCACAGAGTTTTTGTAACAATGAACTCTGAAGATGTAGAACATTAAGGTAAAAATGACATATACAGAGTGATACTTATACAGACTGTATTAATAATATATTAATAAAGTTCTATCAGTATCTGCTTTTTATAATAACAGAAATACATTACAAAGTCTTTAAACATATCTTTGATATAAAAAAGTAAGGTTATCATACTTGTGTATGTTATTTTTCAGCCATCTGTGCTTTCATCTTCAATATATCTTCCGAGTTCATCTCTAAGAAATCTGTGAACTGAATTAATATATGAAACAGCATTCAAGGTTGAGAGAAAAGAAGAAGTGTAATCTTCAGGTTACTTAAAGGACAAATATATACTAAAAATAGTTCTATATAGCCCTCTATATAGAAAAGCAAATATAATTCTTAATATCTGAAAACATTTGATAAAGATAATAACCATATTACAAATCATTACAATAGCACAGTTCTAGTAGTTTTTACAAATGTATAAAATTCCAACTGTGCCTGTTCACTAATTGCTTGATTCCCTGAGAAGTTCTGACTTCAAATGCCAGTAACCCTGTCCTGTGGAGCTGCTGGACCTCTGATCTCTTCCATTTGCTAAGGTATCACTTGTTTGGCCAGTCTAGCTTTCTCCGGAAATCTCTTGCTAAAAGACCTACCTTTGATTAGAGCTTCTATTTCAGAGTAAAAAGTAATCCCTTCCTGTCCTGTTCTTAGGTCAGTTCAGACATGAGGAGCAGCATTGGAAGAAATGGAACATAGGGGGGAGATCTTTGGGAACTATTTGCTTTTGAGATTGTCTTAAGTATGTTATAGTTGAGGTAAATTTGTGCTGCTTTTTATTATAGGGGAAGGAAGTCCGATGCCGACATCTTGTGTCCTGCGCAGGACTTTACTCGGATAGACTCTCCCAGATCAGTGGTTGTGACCCAGAGCCCCGCATTGTGCCTTTCCGTGGAGATTATTTGGTGCTGAAGCCAGAAAAGTGCTATTTAGTTAGAGGAAACATTTACCCGGTATATCATTTCTCAGCACTTTTGCTTATTGGGCAGAAGGAAGTAAAGCCTTGGGGGTCTTAGGCACTATCGGTATTGCAAAAAGTTCTTTAAACTTTAGTAGCCTGGAAAGTTTCTCAATTCCATTTCCAGTTCACTGCCACTTATTTTCCTTTACTCTGCCTTTACTTAAAAAAAAAGTTCTTTTTTTATTTTGTTATGTATAATTGAAATGGGCCATTTAGGCCTTGATTCCAATACCCTGATTCATCCAAATTAAAGCATCTCTGGTAGGTGGCAATCTCACTTCTGTTTAAACATATCCAGTGAAAAAGAGCCACTATTATCTCTTTGGAAAAAATTGTCTCCATTTATTCTCCTTATCTCGATACAGTTAAATGGGAACTGTTTTGTTTAACCGCTTTATAGTTTATACATACACAATACAGACATTCAATACTTTCCAAATGAATTTTGATTTAGAACGTGTTCCATGTGTTTTGGTATGACAGGTACCTGATCCCCGTTTCCCTTTTCTGGGCATTCATTTTACTCCACGGATGGATGGTGGTGTCTGGCTTGGGCCTAATGCAGTCCTTGCATTTAAACGAGAGGGCTACAAATTTTATGATTTCAGTGTTCAAGATTTTATAGATGCAGCTGCTTACAGGTAATCTTTTCCAGTTAGTATGCCCTCCCTCGTTTTTCTGTTGTTATTAACCGTGAGCATTGCAAAAGCCTTAGACTGCTTGTGGTGGGAAATGTGGGAGAGGACTGTGGTTCAATTCAGGTTGTAAGTAATATTGTGTTTAGGAATGTTGGAAGAAAAAGCAAATATATATATTGACCCTATAAAAACCGATAGTTCAGTAGAACCATTTGTATCATCTAAGAAACTTAAGTGACAAGCGAAAAACAAAAACATTGACAAGATTGCTTATATATTTAACAAAAATAAAATGATTAAAAATGAACTAAAATCATATTTTTATTCAAAGCAGTTAGAAAAGCAACCAATTTTACAGCATCTGAAGAATGTAAAAATGTAGCGTAAACATTTTAGATAAGTCCACTTAATCAGATATGTAAAGTGAAAACCAGCAGAATAATTAAAGGTTTAAATCAAGATGACAGATATTAATCCCAGTACAGTATTTCTTAGCTACAGCGCTAAAATGACTTTGTTACTGATTTAATTCCTTCAGTGTAATTGGAATGCAATTATTAGTTTGTACTTTTAGTTGTTTGCATCTGATCTGTGAACACACACACACACACACACACTTATTTACTATATTTCTATATTGACGTTTTCGAAGGTCTCCTTAGAGTTTACAGAATTATGGATGATGAGAGAATTTAACCTTCTTAGCCAGTCAGTTCACAATAAACTATTTCCCCCCACCCAGTGGCTTATGGAGACTAGTGTTGAAGAATTTTTCATATGGGATGGGTGAAATGTACAGAGCATGTTTTCTAAATGCCCAATTGAAGCAGCTGCAAAGAATCATCCCTGAAGTTACCATCAATGATATTCAGAGGTAAAACAAATTTAAAATTGCTGAGATGTCTTGAGATGTGTTGTTCTTCTCTGCTCTCTTTCTAGAGTCTCAACATCTTTTTTACATTATAAAGTGATATTAACACTTCACGTGATCTTGATTCTATCCCTTTGTTAATGCAGCCTAGCACTGTGTTGGCTTTTTTGGCAGTGCAGCACACTGCTGGCTCATATTTAAGTGATTGTCCACTAGGACTCAGAGATCCCTCTCACAGTTACTTTGTGAGAAAGTTGTAAAAGGGGGGGGGTCATTGGACCCCATGAAACTGCAACAATCATAAATATGAATTAGTTGCCAAACATTCGAAGCTTGATCAAGTGACCATGGGGGATGCTGCAACGATCATGTGAAGAATTGTCATAATTCACTTTTTTCAGTGTCGTAACTTTGAACAGTTACTAAATAAATGGTTTTAAGTTGAGGACTACCTGTATTAGGACTGAAGTTTTATTTCAAAGATCTAGTTGAAGTAATGGTTGAATTTCCAGATTAATTCAATGCATCAAAATCAAATAAATTACTTGATTCAAACATTCTGCACACATGTATATTTTAATTGAATTGATCCTTTGAACTGAATCTTTAAATTAACCTGATTTATTTGTAACAATCTATTAACCTTGTAGGTTTAATACATTGTGTATAATCAAACTTGAATGATTCACGAAACCAAAGTGATTATATATATATATATTATTTTATATATATTTCATGTTTCTATCCATCTCCCTCAAAAAGGAGACGTCTTTAATATAATGCAAAGTTATCAAAATCAGTTTTTGTCCTGGCCCCATTTTCTTTTTTTATCTAACATCATCCATTTTTTGAAGAACAGACCTTTGTTTACATCTTAAATCCCAAATGCAAACTCTGAATCCTTGTGCAATTGAATTTAAAGAAACAAATCTTTCAAGGGCTTCTCTTGATTAGCCTCTCAGTTTTTAGCTAAAATCAAGTGTGTATAATTTAATTTTATTATCTGTTAAACAATTAGGATAAATTTATTTTTCTAAAAATAGCAATATTGTGCTACATTATATGTAAGTTTTGCCAACAAATGATTGCCAGTTATTGATGTCAGGAGATACATTTGTTTCATTTGTTTTGCAGAATGTATTTTTATTGATCTATGACCCAAAGTTTTAGGCTGTTCTATAATTAACCATGATAGTGCAGTAATTGTCTTAATTATCTCATATTAAGTCACTTTGGGGAGAGGGGTAGTTATCAAATTAAATATTGAATTTTTAATATATATTTTTTGCAGAGGACCTGCTGGAGTCAGAGCTCAAGCCTTGGACAGTGGTGGAAACTTGATTGATGATTTTGTGTTTGATAGTGGAACTGGAGACATTGCTGCTCGAATACTCCATGTCAGGAATGCTCCTTCACCTGCTGCTACCTCCTCCCTTGCCATTGCAAAAATGGTAGCCAATGAGGTAGAGCAGAGATTTGAATTGTGACTGGACAATGGAGACTTGGTCCTCTTTGCTCCTTCTCCTCCTGGCTACTGTGACAATCAAAGAAAAGGGCTGTTTCTTGTTTGGAGACAGAGAATTAGAAATTCAGTATCACAGTACTGAAACTATGTAAAAAGCACAGGAAGATCTATTAAATGTTATATTACTGAATTAAAAGGAAAATTGTGTTTCTATATTAGCGCAATTAGCAAACCAGAATCTTTCTTCTTTTCCTTAAGAGACCAGCTTGTGTTTGAATAAAGTTCTGTTTCCAAATAGAATAATGAGGAGACTAGACCAAAAGACCCATTTCTGCCTAGGTTTCTGTTTATTTACACAAAGAATCAATGATTGGCTTAGCACAGTGATGGCGAACAGTGATGGCGAACCTTTTAGAGACCGAGTGCCCAAAACCGCCCCCACCCCTGCTCCGCCTCCTGCCCTGCCCGCCCACGCCCTGCCCATCCCCTCCCCTGCCCACCCATGGGGCGACGCACCATCTCCATGGCCCGCCGCAGATTGCCCAGGCAGCCCTGCAGCACCATGACAGCCATGCCCTCCATCCACACCCAGTAGCATCATCTGAATGCTATGGGGCACGAGGGTGGAGTCTTGCCCCTGCTGCGTGGCTATGAACTTGGCTGTGCTGCTCCATGCGGGCCACGCCTGGGGGCGACTCTCCTCCAGGGGGGCTGCTGGTGATTGGGCCGCGGGGGGAGGCGGGGCTGGGATGACGACGTGCCTGCCCACAGAGAGGGCTCTGAGTGCCACCTCTGGCACGTGTGCCATAGGTTCGCCACCACTGGCTTAGCATTTTAAAAATACTTGAGCTGTGGTTGTAGACTTTTCTTAGAATCATCTAAAAAAATGGAGTCAATAAACTGTCCATTGATCATGGTATCAATAGAAAAGAATATTTGTGCACTGATGATGTTACCTGGTTGGGTAATGAAAGATAGTGGGTATTATACAGATAACTGGTGCCATCTTTATTAGAAGTTATGCTGTGAACTTCCAGAAAAAAGATATCAGTCAAGCGTCTTTAGTCTCCAGTTTTTATTTTTAGTAAAGGAATGCTGACAAAAATTTAAGCTGCTGTTGACCACAAGCAAAGTACTGCATTATCCTTACCAAACTCATTGAAGAAAAGGACAGCCGGTCCCAAATGCTGATAATAAAACATGGCTTTTGTCTTTCCATGTATATATTGCCTCTATGGTTTGTCTCTAGAGTTTTTTTTTCCTTTTGCTTTCTCATTGCTGGAAATTAGGCCATTCTCTAAATTGCTAGCTAATGAATCAGAGATCATTTCCTGATTTGATGTGCATACAGTCTTCTTTTTCTAGATGGCCCAAATATGCAACTACGGTATGTGATTGAATTTGGAACAGTCTTTTAAAATAAGTTAATGGAATATGATGAGATAAAAGCAGCATTGATCCAAACCATAATTAGAAGTCATATAGAACTTTATATATCAGTCAATAATAAAACATAAAAAGCAGTGCATAAATGTGGGAGTGCTGAACAAGGAAATTTTAAATGAGTTTTTTTTTAACTGAGTTTTAATGTACTGTACATTATTTTCTGTTCATCTTCAAATAGAATCATTGGAAGTTCCAGACATCTCTTTTTTTTTTCTGAAACACTAAAATCTCCATTCAGGTAGTCCTTGATTTACAACCACAATTGAGCCCAAAATTTCCATTGCTAAGCAAGACAGTTGTTAAATGAGTTTTGCCCCATTTTATGACTTTTCTTGCCAGAATTGTTAAGCGAATCACTGCAGTTGTTAAGTTAGTATAGAATCAGAATCAGAACAGAGCTAGAAAAGACCGTGAAGATCTTCTAGTCTAGACCCCGGCTCAAGCAGGAGACCCTATACCATTTCAGACAAGTGGCTGTCCAGTCTCTTAAAAACCTCCAGGTATGGAGTGCCCACGATTTCTGGAGGCAAAAGCTGTTCCACTGGTTGATTGTCCTCACTGTTAGGAAGTTTCTTCTTAATTTTAGGTTGCTTCTCTCCTTGATTAGTTTCCATCCATTATATCTTATCTTGCCTTCTGGTGCTTTGGAAAATAAATTGACCCCCTCCTTCTTGTGGCAGCTTCTCAAATACTGGAATATTGCTATCATATCACCCCCTGGTCTTTCTTTTCTCTAGAGTGGCCATAATATAGTTGTTAAGTGAGTGTGACTTCCCCATTGACTTTGCTTGTCAGAAGGCCACAAAAGACAATCACATGACTCATGGTCATTGCATCCATCATAAATATGAGCCAGTTGCCAAGTGTCTTAATTTTGAACCTGTGACTTATGGGGATGCTGCAATAGTGGTAAGTGTGAAAAACAGTCATAAGCCACTTTTTTCAGTACCATCATAACTTTGAACAGTCACTAAACGAACTGTTGTAAGTGAAGGAGTACCTGTACGTGTAACGAACATGAATCTTGACTTCCCTTTTCTACCCACTCCACTCCCATCCCAATTAACGAGAGGCTGTGTTAAACCTAGGAAAGCAAAGTACCTGCTACACAGAAGTAGATAGAAGTTTCTGAAACCATGTTCATATAGTACAAGTTTTTTACCAATAGGTTTTTGGTCTGGTCTTGATCCCATCAGACTACAAAACAAATAAAAACTGTAAGTTGTCAAAGTCACATTTGATGAAGTCTAAAGAAAAATTTCTTAAGAATGTTTCAGTAGTGGAATTCCTAATGATATACTGTAGTAATTTTTATTCTGGCAGGAACTAAGGAATCATCTGTTGGGATACTTTAATTAGACATTCTGCAATGAGCAGCCTTGAACAGAATTTCTGCACTAAGCAGACTTTTTGATCTAGATTTGGATTTATATGAACAGAAAACAACTTTGCTTATTTGGCAAAAATTAATCATGTTCTCTTGGTAGGCAGCAAATAATAAAAGTTTTCTACTGCCCCTGTAATAGCACATAAAAAGAGGCAAGGAAAAGGTATTCTGAATGTGATATTTGTTTCTGTAATTGGAGCAAATATTTATATTCTTAATTTTTATGTCATTTCATATTTTACTATTATCTGCCACTATGCTAGAGATTTCCATTTTAAGTATGGAACATACAAGACATTCTTCTGACATTGGAAAATCCACATCCTAGCAGTTTATATTCTCTCCCAAAAATGTATGTGGTTTAGAACTTTGGTCTTCTATATGATTCTACTTAACAGTCTATCTATAAATTCCTTAGGCCAGTGATGGTGAACCTTTTAGAGATTGAGTGCCCAAACTGCAACTCAAAACCCACTTATTTATCGCCGGGTGCCAGGTGGGCATGGCCCAATGGATGGGTGTGGCTGTGGTGGTCATGGCAGATTGGGTGGGTGTGGCCAATGTGGGTGTGATCACCTCGATGTTGCTTGTGGGGGGGACATCTGTGGGGGCCGGGCAGGGTTGGGGGAGATCCAGGAGGTCTCTGGCAGGTGGGACGGTGGGCAGGAGGCTTGTCCTGCGGGGTGAGGCAAGGCAAGGCAAACCAGGGCAGGGATGCCATTGTCACAGGGAAAGGTTAGGCAGGGGCTGGGGCGGCCGCTGCCTGACACCATCGGCCCTGCACACAGAGACCAGCAAGTGCATGGGTGCTGGGATGCATCCGTCCATGTGGGACCTCAGTCAGTTAGCAGGCGGCTGGTTGAAGAGGGATGGTTGCCATCTCCGGGGTGGCACGCATGCCCACAGAGAGGGCTCTTAGAGTGCCGCTTCTGGCATACGTGCCATAGGTTCGCTACCACTGCCTTAGGCGATTAAACAGTTTACTATTCCACTTTTTCAAGATTAAACAAAGTCCAAATATATTTAGGAATAGGTGAAACAATATCTCTTTCTACTGTACAATTTTAAATTAAAATGAAACTACAGTGTTTTGAGAGCCTATGGTACAAAACAAGCCACAAATCTCAGTGCATCCTTGGTTTTGATCCAATGAAGAGAGAAAAAATAGTTACACAGGTCAAAAATCTGTTGGAATATAGGAATTTTTCTATACACAAATTATTCATTGTTACCCAGTATTCTTTATTCTAACCCAGTGGTTCTCAACCTTTCTAATGCCGTGACCCCATAATACAGTTCCCCATGTTGTGGTGACCCCCAACCACTTATACATCACCTGGTGCCAGGGGCATGGCCAAAGAAAAGGGGGGAAAAATGGTGGACAGCCTTGTTTGGTGACCCCCGTGAAATAGTCGTTCGACCCCAAATGGGGTCCCGACCCACAGGTTGAGAACCACTGTTCTAACCAGTGATTCCCTATGACCCTGTTTCTAATTGTTGACTGAGTCAACAATTTCTACATGCAAAACTACAATTTACCACCAATGTACATCACACACCTTGGTTCTAATTTACATGAAAGCTGGGACATGACAATTGAAGTAAAGATAAGGATAGAGAAAGCTCAAACAGCATTCTTCAAAATGAAAAAGGTCTTCTGTAGTCATGACATAAGCCTAAGACTGAAAATCAGGCTTGTCAGATGCTATATTTTTTCTATCCTGCTCTATGGAGTAGAGAGTTGGTCTCTGACAGAAGGCCACCTGAAGAGACTAGAAGCATTTGAAATGTGGATTTACAGGCGGCTGTTATGTATAAGCTGGGTTGACAAGATCAGAAATGAGGTGATAGGCCACCTGGGAAAGCCAAGGGAAATCATCAAAACAATTAAAAAACAAAAATTAGAATATTTCAGACATGATGCGACACCCAGAAAAATACAGCATACTCCATTTAATCCTCCAGGGAATGATTGAAAGCAAACGAGGTCCAGGCAGAAGAAGAACATCATGGCTTCAAAATCTAAGGGACTGATTTGGACAAAACTCAGCAGCACTTTTTTGTGCGGCTGCTGATAAAAACAGGATCGTCAACATGATCACCAACGTTGGATAACGAATACAGCACAAGAAGAAGAAAAAGTACAACAGAGGGAAAAAAATTATTAAGTTTCAGAGACATTTATAATCACTAATGTGATTATGTGTGTTGTGTTTATTGGGTATTTTTATTTTAAAACAAACAGAAGTATTTCTACTGAGACTTAAGAAATTTTGTATACAATTCACCTGCATAACTTACGCATATTACCCATGGTTTTTCTTCATTTTAAAAACTAAAGGTAATCTTAGTGGATTAAATCATTTCATAAAATTTTTACTACAAAGACTACATGGATAGATGATAGTTTCTGAATTTAGTGAAAAACAAATCAAGAAAACTTGCACTTCCATTTATGCATGATGATTAGAGTTGAATTATCAAACACACAAACATACAAACTGAGTTATACATGGCTATTCCACAGTAAACTTTGGGATATCTCTCAAGTATGTTCCCTATGAAATATATTGAATGACATTCATCAAGTACAATTCTGGCAAGCAGAATCTCCATGTGAATACAAAGAAGAAAATTATTTAACCAAAAGTTCTTTGTCCTCCATGAAATGACAAATACATCCAGCCCATTGTGTCCTTTACATTCAAGATACAGTCAAAGACGTGTTTCTATGCATTTATAGTAAAGTTGAGCAAATCAAATGTCCAACATTCAAGAAAATTCTGTGTAAGATGGCATTGAATGTACTTCTGTTCAAAATTTTGTCTGTATTCTGGATGTAGCTACCTGAGAAGCAGCCCTTAATGAGTTTGGCCCATCACAAAAGGAATGTATTTTTAAAAAATACATTTTGCAATATGATGCTTTTTTATTTGGGGATTATTTTTGCATTCACCCAAATCTAAATCAAAAAGAACAGGGCAGTTTAATCTGCAATGTATATTAGTTTGTATCAGATCAATTACTGGATCCAATATAATGTTATTTAGCAAATTACATTGAATTAACTTTGGCCCAAACCTTTATTTTCAGTAGTTCACATGTCACACATTGCCAAAATATATAGAAAATGAGGAATGGGGTTAAAGAATATTACTTCACCACCTAGATTATGCAATGACACAACTGGAAGTGCATCTTTTAATTTGGTATCATCATTTGGAGACCTTTTTCTGGAAGTATGGAGGCATTGGCTGAGATGTCTTAAGACTATTATACAGTGCATACTTTTCTGTATTTTGGTTTCTACTGAATACACATATGTGCTTGTATTTTGAATGTAAAAACAGCTGTGCAATAGTTATATGACTTATAGGGCATTTTCAAGAGGTGTGCATTATTCCAGATGGCTCAAGGTTTTTTTGTACATTACCCCATTTCTACAACTGATGAAAAAAATACTTTAGCATAACACAATATACTATTGATAGCTAAGTTACTTAACAAGTTGTAAGGTACAACTTGTTTTTTACTAACTGTATTTCAAATATTCATGAAATAAGGAATAGGGATTGAGTAGTACTGATTCAGTACTGTTTTATAAAACAAGTTAGTTTTTTCTTCACTAAATGGAATACTTACTGCTCATGCATTGCTGAGGCAAGCAGAGGAAAGTGTCACATTTTTGTGTGGTCAAGAATCAAACTAAAGCTTCATTCCCATACTCATTTTCCAGGACATAAGATCCAAACTAAAGAATTGAGGTGACATGTTGCACTAATCCAGGATATGTGTAATCATGATTATCTAATAAACCATAGCTGAATGAATTCAGGCTATACACAAAGTTTTAAAACATGATTTACAAAACACTCTTAGCATAATAAACCCAATCATATTTAGCATCATGGTTACAAACCAAATAACATGGGTTTAGTTATTTATTTGAGCTAAGCTATGCCAATTTACACATTTACAGTATATGCTCCGCTTGATGAATTACAACATAATAAATAAAAGATTTCCAATAGGAAACTTAAAGGAAAGGATGTAGAACTTAATTGTTTTCAGTAAGTAGATTTGCAATTGTATTTTAATTGATTAAATGGAGGCAGTCACATTCAATCAAGGGAAACAATGTTGAGAATTAATAGTATGCTTGTTAAATATTAAAATACTCAAGCTTTCTTCAAAATGTCATCTATACCATGCTTTTATAATAAGCACATTTCTTTCAATTTATCTAGGAAGTGATATGGAATAATAATATTGATGTTGTTGTTGTTAATTATTATTATTATTATTATTGAAACAGACAGCTATCTGCCACATAACACCCCAGACTTAACAATTGGCAATAAGAAAAACAAAAAAGTTTGGATAGTGGACGTGCCATTGCCTGAAGACAGCAGAATAGAAGAGAAAGAAAAGACAACAAAATACAAAAACCTACAAATAGAAATAGAATGACTGAATCAAAGGCAAGCAAGGGTAGTACCAATAGTCATTGGTGCCTTGGGTGCAATCCCAAAACAATTGGAGTACCACTTGAACGCCATTGACATAGACAAATTCGCCATCAGTCAATTGCAAAAGGCGGTTTTACTGGGAACAGCTTCTATCTTGCAATAATATCTGTAACACCATCAAACATCCACATCTGCCTACTCCAGGTCCTTGGTAAGGACTCAATAGGTAGACAAAAATGTCAAATTCACTCTGAACATCTGGCTGACTGTGCAAGAATAATAATAATAATGATGATGATGATGAGGAGGAGGAGGAGGAGGAGGAGGAGGAGCAGGAAAATCGAAGAAAGAGACCGAGGGACTAATTCTGGCTGCACAAGACCAAGCCTTAAGGACAAATGCATATAAAGTCAAAATTGAGAAGACAGCAACAGACAGTAAGTGCCGCCTATGCAAAGAAGATGAAGAAACAGTGGACCACCTGGTAAGCTGTTGCAAGAAGATTGCACAGACTGACTACAAGCAGCGGCATGACAAAGTAGCAACAATGGTGCATTGGAAGATCTGCAAAAAATATCATTTGCCTGTAAGCAAAAACTGGTGGGATCATCAAATAGAGAAAGTAATAGAAAATGATAAAATTAAACTGCTCTGGGACTTCAGAATTCAAACAGACAAGCACCTGCAACATAACACCCCAGACTTAACAATTGTCGATAAGAAAGACAAAAAAGTCTGGATAGTGGATGTGGCAGTGCCTGGAGACAGCAGAATAGACGAGAAAGAACTGGAGAAGATAACAAAATACAAAGACTACAAATAGAAATAGAAAGACTGTGGCAAAAGCAAGCAAGGGTAGTACCAATAGTAATAGGCTCCTTAGGTGCAATCCCAAAACAATTGGAGCACCACTTGAACACCATTGGCATTGACAAATTCGCTATTAGTCAATTGCAAAAGGCGGCCTTATTAGGAACTGCTTCCATCCTGCGACGATATCTGTAATACCATCAAACATCCACATCTGCCTATCCCAGGTTCTGGGTAAGGACTCGATAGGTAGACAAAATGCCAAATCCAGTCTGAACATCTGGCTGACTGTGCGATGATCCATAATAATAATAATAATAATAAATAAAAAATGTACAGTAATGGATAAGGGATACCTTGCTCAATAGTAGTAACTGTGAGAGGGATCTTGGAGTCCTAGTGGACAATCATTTAAATATGAGCCAGCAGTGTGCTGCAGCTGCCAAAAAAGCCAACACAGTGCTAGGCTGCATTAACAGAGGGATGGAATCAAGATCATGTGAAGTATTAATACCACTTTATAATGCCTTGGTAAGGCCACAATTGGAATACTGAATCCAGTTTTGGTCACCACAATGTAAAAAAGATGTTGAGATTCTAGAAAGAGTACAGAGAAGAGCAACAAAGATGATTAGGGGACTGGAGGCTAAACCATATAAGGAACGGCTGCTGGAATTGGGTATATCTAGTTTAATGAAGAGAAGGACGAGGGGGGACATGATAGCAGTGTTCCAATATCTCAGGGGCTGCCACAAAGAAGAGGGAGTCAAGCTATTTTCCAAGGCGTCTGAAGGCAGGACAAGAAGCAACGGATGAAAACTATTCAAGGAGAGAAGCAACCTAGAACTATGGAGAAACTTCCTGACAGTTAGAACAATTAACCAGTGGAACAACCTGCCTGCAGAAGCGGTGAATGCTCCAACACTGGAAGTTTTTAAGAAGAAACTGGACAGCCATTTGTCCGAAATGGTATAGGGTTTCCTGCCTGAGCAGGGAGTTGACTAGATGACCTCCAAGGTCCCTTCCAACATAATAATAATAATAATAATAATAATAATAATAATAATAATAATAATAATTCTATCATGGTATTTGACTTGGAAAAGCTCATTCAGATATGCAACTCATCACTTTGTAACTAGCAAGTGATGAATGCATATTTATAAACAGCTGAACTTCTGTCTACAGTGTCTCCTATAAAGTAGTGAGGAAAAGGCATAGAGCAGTGGTTCTCAACCTTTCTAATGCCGTGACCCCATAATACAGTTCCCCATGTTGTGGTGAACCCCAAATGGGTGTGGCCACCAATAAGAGGGAGTAGGACAGCTAGGGAAAAGGGAAAAAAATGGCGGACAGCGTGGTTTGGCGACCCCTGTGAAATGGTCATTTGACCCCAAATGGGGTCCCGACCCACAGGTTGAGAACCACTGGCATAGAGCCATAAAAATGATTATTTATCCCTGAACCAGATGAACCATAACAAGCAATTTTCCCCATTTTTTATTTTATTTTATTTCACTATCATCCTTTGTTGTGTGCTCCAACCACCATCCACCAAAATTCCAGATTTCTTTTTCATAGCAGAAGTGTCTATCTCTTAGTCTTAATTACTTCAAAGCAAACATCTTATCCATCAGGCATTTCAGATTCCATATGTGCATCACTATAGCTTTGTTGTGAACTTTCATTTATCGGTCTATCACTTAGATCATAATAACTCAGCTCAGGTGTATAGCTAGGATGCCGAACTGATTGAATGTCTTCCTTAGGTTTCTCAAAGGATGATTCATCTGTTTGTTGATAATGAGATGCTAGCACTTTGCCAGTTTTAAGATTTATCCAGCTTCCTTTTGGCATGGATAATGAATCATAAGTGAGCGCGGTTTCATATTCCACCTCTATATAAGCTAAAGATTGTGCACTCAACATATTCCTACTTACATGAGAAACTAGCACTTGCTCAACTTCATCAATACTCTGCACTTCATCCCAAGATGGCTGAATGCTGAGATCTGATACAGCAATTTCAGATGGTTTGTTGCTACTGCAGGTTTCCTGACCAAATTTTGCTTCACTCAATTTCACATCAGATATGGGTGCTTTGGGACAACCTGCAGAATTTCTATTGTTCTCCAAAGCTGTTTTACTAAGCAAGCTCATACTTGTCTGCTGGCCATGATTTATCAGTAATTTTCCAGTTTTTCTATTTAGCCAGAAATCATTTTCTAGAGAAATTCTGCTATATGTCTGCAGAGCTTCATCTTCCCCCTCTACATATGATGATGAACTGTCAAGGGTACTCCTACTTGCAGACTCATAAGACTGCTGTGCATCACTTGAGGGTGTGCTCCAAAGGATGTCATTATAGTGAAATTCATGTTTCACTGACTGCTTACTTCCTTGATGGAGTTCCTGCTCCACATCCAATTTGCTGGTTATTTGGAGAGTCATCCCTTCTTCCTGTCCAGAGGCCATTATTTCTTGCTGTTGGCTGGCCTGCTGGGGTGATATATCTTCTGCCTGTTGAGATGTATCTATCTGCTGGCTGGCTTGTCGGGAGGCTGGTACCTCTGCCTGTTTGCTCTCATTTTGAGATATTTCTGTCTGCTGACTGGCTTTTGGGGATGCTGGTACTTCTGCCTCTTGGCTGGCCTGTTGAGATGATGTTAACACTGCCTGCTGGCTAACCTGCTTGGATGCTGCTATTTCTGTTTGCTGGCTAGCTGGTTGGGATGTTGTCACCTCTGGCTGTTGACTGGCATGTTGGAATGGCAAGTCTGCATGCTGGCTAGGTTGGCAGTATTTCACCACCTCGGCTACTTTGGATGCCACCATCACTACCTCTTGGCCAGATTGTTGTGAAGCTAGTAACTCAGGCTTTGGAACTCCATCTATTAAAGCATCCTCCTGTAGACTTCCTCTTTGGGACTGCAGCAACTTCTCTTGTTGGTTTCCCACAGTGGGTTCATCTTTGTAGGACTCTTGCAGTTCTTTTTCTGCTTCATTACCTTCAAAAGATATTAGTTCTTTTTCTTTAATCAGTGCTGCTGCTGCTGCCATCTGATTCTCAGGCTGAGACTCATCCTTACAAGTATCTTGCTGTGCTACAATTTTCTTTCTGTCATCATCAACACGATGTATTTTATCAAATTCAGTCTTTTTTTCTTCAGGCATGGAATTCCTAGAAAAACTTTCCTTAGATGTGAGATTTACTTTTCTTGCTCTATGCTCCTGAAGCCAACTTCTTTCAGTTTGTTGACTGCTACATGTCATTATTTTACCAGTTCTTCTGTTTTTCCAGGTATTCATTCCAACTGAAATAATGCTGTAAGTTTGCTGAGCCTTTGAAGCAAATGAAGACTTTTGTTTTGAATTATTTATGACACTTTCAAGAGTATTATCCCCAGCTACTTTGTTCACTTTATCAGCAACCAGTTGAAGTTCTGCCTCTACCACAGCAGGTTGTTTACTTTCCCATTCAGGCAGTAATGTAATGGATTGTTGGCTAACACTCCAAGACTCAGGCATGATGGTTTGTTCACTATCTGTTTGGGATTTGAGCATGATGAGTGATTCAGTGAACCTTTGAGATTCTGATGTATCAAGCTTCACACTGTCCCTCCTACACCTGGATTCTCTCACTGATTCAGTGTTCCTTTGGGATTCAGGGATGGCAGGCTGTTTGCTATCCCTTTGGGACTCAGATACAGTAAGTTGTTCACTGCCCTTTGGGAATTCAAGCTCATATGGGTGATCACTGTCTCTTTGGAATTCTGGAATAGTGGGCTGTTCACCATTATTTTGGGACTCAGATACAGCAGGTTCACCAAACTTCTGGGACTCAGGGCAGATGGGCTGTTCATTACATTCTGATGGTTCTGGAATAGCAGACTGTCCGCTGCCTTTCAAAAAGTCAAGCAAAGGGGGATATTCACTGCCTATTTGAGGCTCTGGAAAAAGGGCTTGTTCACTGTCCCTCTGGGACTCAGAAACTGGGAGAAGATTTGCCTTCTGGAACCCATATACAAGATGTGATTCAGTAATCGTCTGGGATATGAGTGTTTCACTGGCTCTCCTGGACTGGGGCAAGTTGGGTAGTTCATTAGAGTTCAGAGACTGTAATATGCTGGGGGGTGCACTTACCCTGCGGGAATGGGGCATGTTGGAAAATTCTATTCCCTGGGATTTAATCAAGGATGGTCCACTGGTCTCCCATTTCTCAGAAAATAATTCACTGGTTTTTGATTCACTTCCAAAAGGCTGTTCACTAGTCCTATGAAGCTGTATGTTAGGTGACTCGTTAGTTATCTGGGACTCAGGTTCTTCAATGGCTCTCAAGGATTCAGACACTGTACATTTTTCACTAAATCTTTCAGATACAGGAAAAACAGTTTCTTCACTGCTCCTTTGGGAGTTAGGGGGAGTTGGGTATTCAGTGACCTTTGGGGATTCAGATAAAGTGGGCTCTTCACTGCCTTTTTGGAATTCTGGGGCAGCAGATACCTGTCTACCTTTCCCGAACTCTGAGATCATGCATTTGTTGTTATCCCTTTGATATTCCGGAATGGTGACCTGGCCACCAACCTTCTGTTCACTATTTGTTTGAGATTCAGGAACAAAAGATTGTTTACCTTCCCACGAGTCTGTTTTAGCAGGCAGTTCACTTGCTTTCTGGGTTTCAAGGGATATAAGCTGTTTGCTGCTTCTTTGGGATTCTAAACTTGGGTAGTGCTTACTATTCTCATGGGACTCAAGCACAGCACCTTGTTCTCTGCTTATTTTGATCTCAAATGCAGTATACTGTTCATTAGTCTCTGACTCTGAACTAATTCTTTGAGATTTTTGAACCCCAGACTCATTACTTTTTGATAGTGCTTCTTTACTGGCAAGTTTCTGCTTTTTCTCTCTATAATTCTGAAGCCAACTATCATTAGTCTGTTGACTCTGGTTTTGCATTAATTTGCCAGATCTTCGGTTTAACCAAGTAGTTTCCTCCAGTGAAATGATGCTGTATGTCTGTTGACCAAATGACATCTTTTGTTTCAGTGGCACTGTCCTATTTTCAGAAGTGATAGTCACAAGGGGCTCCTTTGCATCATCAATCTTGTTTTCTGTCCCTAGGCTACCATGCTGTGATTTTTGCTTCAGTTCAAATAACATATCACTTTGATTATCTTTTTTTTTAAATTGATGACTATCGTATTCAAATTCTTTTAACCCAGCTGATGGTCTGCTGTGACGAACTTGTCGATCTTCTTGAGGGAAACTATTGTGACGAAATTCTTGCACCTCAGTTTGCTGGCTATCATAGAGAGAGTCTGGTAAATTGGCTGGTAGACTGGAAGAGCGAAATTCTGTAATGTCAACTGGCTTGCTTCCTTGGCCAAAATCTTGCCCTTTTTCTGGCAGACTGTCAGTGCAGAGGTCTGAAATAACAGGCTTATCTGCTTTTTGCAAGTCATACTGATGACTACCATGGTGAGATTCTTGCATTCCTAATTGTGTTCTAATTTTTGCAATGCTAACTGTATCAGTCTGTAAACCTTTTTCAAGCAACTCTCTTTTCAGACTCTGAGCACTATCTGTCTGCTGAGCTTGGTCAATTTTAATTTTTCGTATTTTTCTACGTCGCTTTATTTTTTGTTCCTCTGATTTTGTTTTTTCTGATTCTACTTGTTGGCCTCTTAGTTGGGTCTCCTGCCATACTCTAGATATTTTTGGCTCTTGAATATTATATTGGGATTCTGGTACCGCAGTCTGTTGACTATCTTGCTTTGATTCTTGTCCCTGGAGCTTTTGAATATTGCGCCGAGATTCTTGTACTGCAAGAGATCGACTACCTCGCCTTGATTCTTGTCCCTCTGACTTTTGATTACTGTGCTGAGATTCTTGTACTGCAGCTTGTTGACTAGCTTTCCTTGATTCTTGCCCCCGTAGCTTTTTAATATGATGCTGAGATTCTTGTATTGCAATAGATTGACTACCTTGCCTTGATTCTTGTCCTTCTGGCTGTTGAATACCATGCCAAGATTCCTGTACTGCAACAGATCGACTACCTCGTCTGGATTCTTGCCCCTCTGGCTGCTGAATACTGTGCTGAGATTCCTGTACTATAACAGAACAACTGCCCCGTCTTGATTCTTGCCCTTCTGGCTGTTGAATACCATGCCAAGAATCCTGTACTGCAACAGATTGACTATCTCGCCTTGATTCCTGCTCTTCTGGCTGCTGAATACTGTGCTGAGATTCTTGTACAGTCACAGATTGACTATTCCTCGATTCTTGTCCATCTGGAGGCTGAATACAGTGCCAAGATTCTTGTACTATATCCCTTTGAGAAATTTGTTCTAATTCTTGCCATTGTAGCTGTTGCGTACTATGTTGAGATTCTTGTAACACAGGTTTCATTTCAGAAGCCCCAGAAAATGTTAACAATGTTTCAGTATGTAATGTTTCTTTTTCTGAATTGTTTATCATGGATTGATGAAAAGGAAGTAAAAGTTCTGCAAGTGTTTCTGGGCCCCAAGCAATACTAGTTTGTTGATAGCTAGATATCCTCTGACTTGTTCTTTCACTAATCAAAGTCCTTTCTTTCATTAAATCTGCTTCGTTCAAGGGCTGTTCCTGAGAAAATGTTTTGCTTGGTAGATTTTGAACACAAATGGCTTGTTCATTGCTGTGTGGAGATTCCAGTCTATTTAAATCTTGGCTACAAAGGTGTGAGACTTGTGTCTTTATTTGCTGACTATCATGCTTTTCTACTTGTTCAGTTGCATAGCCAGATTCTTGCATACAAGTTTTTTTTATTTTTGTCTTTTCAGGAAAAATAATCTCCTGTTCAAAGCCCTCTTGAAAAGACTTTGGGGTTTGTAAAGGCTGGTAAGCAACAGGCTGCTGATTATTACAATAGGATTCTTGGTCTTGAAGTTGAGGACTGTTGGGCTGCAATTGTTTCTTAAAAGGTGTTACACTACTTGTCCTTGCAGAAATATTTGTCTGCTCACTTTCATCCATTATTTCTTTCCGTCTAAAAATGCTCACTTTGCTATCTGTTTGAAGAGACTTGTCCACCACATTTTTTTCAGAAATTATTCTTTTTATAAGTTCTTGTTCCATTGCTTGTGTAGAATAGCCAGTTTTCTGGTAGTGACTGATCTAAGTATAATTCTCATTTGGGTCAGAAGTAGGTTCCAGACTCTCCAAATTGAGTATTTCCTCATTCCCAGGATTTATCTGGGCAAGTGCAATTTCAAAATCACTCAGCTTTTCTTTTAGCAAAATTGCTAAATTAATTCTGAGGCCCTGAGGTACTAGCTTTTGTAGCATCAGCAAGCCAGATCTCCTTTCTAACCAAGCTGTTTTCTTTTAAAAAGCTACACGTAAAAGAAACATAAGTGCAACTTTTCTGATCCCAGTTCATAACGATTAATTCTTTTCATCAGGAATGTGACTTGGATGTAGGTTGAAACATTTTCTAGGTGATGGTAAACCTTTGTTGGGTGCGTGTTTCTTATTTACAGCCTGTTGGAATCATGGCCTTTTATGTCTAGATTAAGGAGTTAGCAAGTAATTTGTCTGATGATCGTTTCCTGTTCTTACTCCAACTGCCTTTGTTCTACAAGCATCAGAAAATGGTCTGTGACATCACGGCACAATGTGCTCCAATCATTTATCTTACATCTAAGCAAGATTCTAAGTCCAAGTCTTTAGAACTAAGATTAGAGTTCATTTTTGCCATTCAAGGGCAGCAACTGAAGCCTTGACTATTCTTCTTACTGTCTTCTAAAGAAAGTGGCTTTACAAAAAGGTAACTAATAATAATTTCCCTTAACCAATTCTTAAGTGTTGCCTTATGGCAGAAATGTCAAACACAAGGCCCGGGGGCCGGATGCGGCCCTGCAAAGTGGTTTCATGTGGCCCATGAAGCCATCCTGGAAACAGTGAAGGAATGGCCCCCCGCTGCCTTGGCCCTGGCCCAGGCCGGCCAGGAGCCATTGTACAATTTTGTGGTGGCCATCTATGCTGAAACACATTCAGTCTTAACTCCACAAGGCCATCTGGAAACAGCGATGAACCAGCCCCTGCTGTGTCAGCCCCGCCCCCTGGATGCATGCTGGGGAGGTGTCACCCTTTGTGAGGAATGAAGAAATGGACCATGCCTTGGCACTTGCCCTGGTCCCACCCCCTTCTGCCAGAGACCCTCAGATCTGTCCCACTCCTGCTCATGTTCCCACAGACACCTTTGATGCGAACAATGTAGAGCTGGCCATGCCCACCCAATAGGCCACACCCACTCCATCCACGCCCACCCCGTAGGCCGCAGCCACCCTGGCCACACCCACCCAGCCCCCCTGAGGGCAACCACAATGCTGATGCGGCCCTCAATAAAATTGAGTTTGACACCCCTGCCTTATGATTATGAAATATTTTAGAAAATTGTTGAAAACAATGGGTTTGTAGAGTACAAAACTGATCATTTCATAATTTTCTTTTGCTAGATTTTCTGGCGGCCTTCACCAACTTCATTCCTTGGCTAGAAATTATGAGAGATGCAATTCAGCATGTTTGTACGGGACATAAGACAGAACTTTTGATTTTAGATGACAGTTTGGCTGGCATGAGGAAAAATTTCTCCAGGTCACTTGGCTGTATGAAGGTATGGAGGTGTGAAACAGGTCAGTATTTATGTATTTATTTCATTGATTTATTGAATTTATTTGCTGTCTATCTAGTAGGAAATGACTTTGAATGGCTTTCAGCATTAAAACATTAAAAAAACTAGCAACTAAATATCTTTAAAAGAATAAAAATAGAAATCCCAATCAAGATATAGTTAAAAGATGGGGAGAGAGGGAATAGAATGCATGGAGAGGGGATATTATTACCTCTTAATTCAACAACCGCCTCCAATATGATGTTCCCCGATGAAGGACTCAGGCTATCTGGCAGGCTCCTGTGGAAGGACAGAATGGTGGGAGCCAATCTCATCTTAGTGGGTAAGATGTTCCATACACAAGGCCCTTCTCCTGGACTCTGCCAGCCAGAATTCCTTAATTAATGGGGCCTGCAGCATGCCTACTCTGCTGGCACAGGTGGGCAGGACCTCTCAATCTCTATCAGCATCGATTGGGACCAGCCTTGGAGAAGGAAGCCACACCAGTGCAAAACTGAGTCACCCAGTCTCAAACCCCACAGCTAGTCCAAAAGAATACCATGTTCAAGGTCTATCTCTCAAGGCTGCTGAGAGATCACGGAGAGCAAGGATGGTTGCACTACCCCATCCCAGTCTTGCCAGAGATCATTTACTAGTACGACCAATGCCTTTTCCATCCCCTAATTGGGTTTGAATTCTGGCTGAAAGATAATCTGTTTCATCAAGGACCTCTGTAGCTGTCAAGCAACCACCTTTTCTACCACCTTACCTAAGAAGGGAAGATGGGAAACTGAACAGAAGTCTGACAGGCAGGTGGGGTCAAGTGATGGTTTTTAAGGAGGGGACAAACTGGAGCCTCCATAAAGTGCCCTGGGAAAGTCCCCTCCTGTAGTGAGAAATTTATCACTGCTTAAAGAATATGATATTCTCTTTCAGTTTGTTTTGTTTTGCATGTTGTCTTAGTTCTAAACACAATATAGCAACAATAGTCCATTATTTGGAAAGACCAGTTTCTGTGCATTCTGAAAAACAAAATTATACTGATGAGGCTGGTTTCAAGTCTGCATGCTTTCACTGGTGCAGGGACAAAGTATGCTTATCTGTGTATTTGCAGTAGAATATCAAAGCACAAGGAGCCAAAAGATGCTGCCAAGAAAAGGTACAGAGAAAGTGTAATCACATTATCTCACACTTTGAAGCTCTAGAAAGAAAGCTAAAGAACCCGGAATTTTAGGTTGCATTCTCATTAATCCTTTCAGGCTATAGGAGTAGACTGGAAAGAGAAAGAACACTGCCAGGAAATGACAACACAAAAATACAGATTATTAGACAGCTAAGATTCCTTCCAATCCTATAATTCTATGATACACACAACAATATGAAATCAGTTTCCAGTTCTTTAGCTGGTGTTTGCCATCAATCATATTGATTTCTTCCCAAAAATCTAGGTTGTCATAATAGTATATGCGCAAATCCATGCAGTGTGTACTTATGTAATTTGGTAAATGGAATTTTTTTCAATGCACAGATTTTCTAAATGCTGTTTAAGGCTTTTTCATACAGTATTCAGTGTGCATATACTATAACCACTAGAACAATCTCAGCCAATGTATGCCATAATGTCTCAATTTTAGTTTTAATACTTGAAACTTTGTGATCTTCTCTGATTCTTTATCTTCAATTATCCCATAGTATTGCCACATCAATTATCCACATTTTCTTCTTTTCAGCCACAGTTAAATCTGGTGTATGCCATAATCTGTTTTATTTATTTTCGGGAGGGTGTGTGTGTCAGTCCATAGGTTGTTTCAGTGCAGGCCTGCATTGGCTCTGTTCTTATTACTTGTTCTAAGCTATTATTATATTTCTATCCCACCCTTTTTATACATAACTCTAGGTGTTGAACATAACTAACACTGTACTGCCTATTTTCGAGATGCTTGTGACTTATATGCTCAACCCAAATACCTACATTATAGTTGACAGCTTTTTCTCATCTAGTGTCACCGTCCATCAGAATTACACCTGGAGTCTAAGTTATCAAAACTGTAGAAAGATTAAAATATTTCAATGCTGGTTAACTCATTCTTGAGAAAGGAGATTGCCTCTTAAGGAGGCATTAGTTCACCCCCTCCTCAAGAATCACTAAATCCCACCATACTGGACAATTTTTTTAGAGAATGTTGTGGGAAAGGTGGTCATGCAGCAGCTTTAGTGAACTCTGGATGAAGCAGATTATCTGGATTCCTTTCAGTCAGGATTCAGACCTAGATATGGGATAGAAACAGCACTGGGTACAATTTTGGATCATGTCTGGCAGGAGTGGGGTGGGGAATAATACACACATCCTGGCTCAACCTCTATTTTCTGATATGTGGGAATGATCTTGGAAGCCAGGGCAAGGAGATTCAGCCAAAGGCAGTCAGATAAAAGGCAGCTTAGCCAATAACAGGAATGTGATTGGGGCAAGAGGCGCAGAAGAGTTCCTCTTTGTTTTGGGGCTGAAAAGGATTAGATTGGGAGGGAGAAATACTTTCAGTCTTACAGTCAGGAAACACAACCTGATGAATTAATTCTAGTTATTGTAAGGTTACATTAACATAATCTTGCAAGTCTGGAAGCACTCCTCTCCCCGGCCTCGTTATGTTGCAAAAGTATTGTGGAGATTTGAAGCTCAACATGTTTCCTGTCTGCGTTGCCAATCCATATCTTGACGAAATAGGTATGGATTGGCAACGCAGACAGTAAATGTGTTGAACTTTAACTCGCCACAATACTTTTGCAACATAACTAACGGAAAGGAGATTGGGGGAGTATCTCTGGAAGGTACCTGAGGATGATTTTAGAAGCTCGATCGAACGAGAGGGCCGCAAAGGATTAGGCAGCTTCTGGGGCCGCATAACAGCGAAGCCTCCTATTTCTTCCTGGCCATGACGTTTCTGGTACTACGACCGCTCTCCGCCCGCACTTCACTTGAGCGACTACAGAGCAAAAAGCCGTCCTCAGGGAAAAGCAAGGCAAGCCGGCGGCCCCACCTCTATTGAGTATCCGAAGGGGCCGCCTTCTTTTCCCATTGGCACTTGCCCGACAGGCCGACTCCCTCTTCCTCCGGTCCTCTTCCCGGGCCGCTAGAGAGCGCAACTGGACCCTGCCCGGTAGTTTAGGCCGGCCTCTGCGTTTGCGCAGTGCGCGTGAGACCGAGGCAGCCGCGGCCCAGGCTTGGGAAAGTAGAGCGGCGGCGCCTGCTGCGGCTTGCGGCGGGGCCCGCGGCTTGGGGGACGCGGATGTGACCGCGGTTGGCCAGGCCTGCGGGCAGGGCCGGGGAGCAGTTGAACCGCTCCGTTGCCCCTTCCTCTCCTCCGCCATCCATCCCAAGGCGCGGGAGGAAGAAGAGGGGCTATGCAGCCGCCTCAGCCGCCCCCCTACGAGTTCCTCAGCGAGGAGAACGGGCAGAAATGGCGGGGGCTCCTCGTGCCGGCCCTGCGTAAGGTCAGTCCTTCCTGGCAGCGGCGTCCTGTCATGTGGGCGCGCTCTCTCGCACGCGGTCCTCCAAGGTGGGGAGCTGCAAAGCAACCCCCCCCCGCCGCCTCCGTTGCCAGGCGTCTCCCGGACAGCGGGGATCCTTCTTGTCAGTCCGCAAAGTGCTCTCGCTCCCTCCTCCCCCCCCCTTTCGGCGGCTTCAGTTTACCTCACACGAAGGGTCCCTTCCGAGCCTTAGGAAGCCGCCCCCGTCAGGGCACGCCCCCTTTAACCTCTCAATAAAGCTGCCCTGCCTCAGCCCAATGCTCTCCGTGGCCCCTCAGGCGCCAGGAGATCTTGCCTAGGAGCTTTCCTTTTCTGCCACCGATTTCTCACTACGTATTGCGTTGCAGGTGTCATGTAGTGCTTCAAGTCTGTGTCGTGCGAATGGACTGAGGGGCTTTTGGGTAGGTCGCTGCCTCAGCTCAACCTACCTCACAAGGTTCTTCTGAGAGAATATTCTTTGTGAACTCCCTAGAGTTCAATCTCAGCAATACACAAGAACTTATTTGCAGGGTTAGAAGAGGGAAGCGGTGGCAGTGTGGAAATTCCCCATTCTTTCCCAAGAGAAACTTTCTTACTTGTTGATAATTAAACTTGTATGCTGCCTTACTTGGGTTTATGTTCTGTACATTGGTTAAAAATTCCTGGAGGAGATATGGGATTTCTTTCTAACAATGAACAAATAAATATAATGCAGGTAGGTGGTCCTTGCGTACCAACTACCTCATGGTGTGACTGAAATTAAAATGACACTAAAAAAAACCCTTTACAATCAAGCCTCACAATTATAACCATTACAACATTCTGCAGTCACATACGATCACCACTGAGGTGCTTCTCAACCAGTTTGTGACAGGCAGAGTTAATAGAGAAAGGGGACATAAATTCATAAATTGTGATAATGTGATTTTTTTCTTGTATATATTAATCTTAAACTCAGCATCTCTTAACTCAGAACCTTTCAGATATATTAAGTTGCAATCCAGGACCTGGGCACCTAGTTGAAGATAACAGGAACTGTATGTTGTATGTTCCCATCTTTTTACATGGAACTGCCAAAAGGCATCTTCAGTCACCATGTGACTCAGATGTTCTTCTGTACAATTACACAGATCATTCTATGGTATATTATTCTTTAGTTGGCCCCTTGTATAGACACATTTCCTGCCTTGTATTTACCTCTTCTGTATGCACATTGACATCATGATCATATTGATCATCATGCTCCTGTAAATGTTTTATGTAAGGAAGGCAGTTGAGTAGATTTGTATGTATATGGAAACTGCAAATATACCAGGCATATTCAAGCACACTATAAAGATATGGAAGGAAGACAAACTGCAGAATTTGAGGTATTTGTACTGCATAATGTTGACTATTGTTGGAATAATGAATTCAGTCTAGGTAAGATGCTGGTCCAAACTATGTAATGTGATTTGTATATTTATTTTTGACTCAATAAGAATGAGTCCTTTTGCTGTGATGGATTCATAGTAAGCCTAGCACTGTGAATGAACTAGTAATCTGAGTCATTGACTTATCTGTCTGAGAACAAACCAATTTTTATATCCTTCCATAATCAGTCAAAGACCAGTCAAAGACTAGTCACAGAATCTGCCTTTCTTCTAAGAAACTGAGGAATGTTTTGATTGTCTTGCATGGTTTAGTATAATTTGATTTTTATAGCATAGCATTATATTTCAGGAAATGTGCAAGAGTTTTGTGATTGAATTGAGATGGAGCTTTCCTGTATTAACCACCCATGTTGTGATTCTAATTATACCACCGGCAATATCTATTTCTTTTTAAAATAGTTTTCAAAACTCAGAAAAATACAAGCAGAACTATATAAGCATTTTTCTCTGACCTAGTTCATGTGCTGAACTAAGACACGATGAATTTATTTGATTTATTATGTTGCATGAACCCAGGAGTCTGTAACACATACTTTATGGTTTAGTGTACTTTGGAAACTCAATCATTTGTGAATTACTTAGTAAATCAAGTTAAGTGGCTTAACATTGTATGTGAACCCAGTTATATATTTTGGCCTAATTTATTTTGTCCACAAAGTTATTGTAATTTGTAAACCATCATATTTTATACTTTCAGTATACATCCCTCTCTCCCCCCATCCTTGTATTTTATGGCAAGTTGAGAACATGTCATAGGCACTGTCACAAAATGCCTTCATGATATTTTAGCTTTTTGCAAAGAAGATAAAGTGAGTGCTTCATTTTACTGGTAAATATGTATATTTGTATGTATGTATTTATATGTACATACACGCGCGCACACACTTTTCCCCCCAAGGATGCCTCCAAAATACTCAGAGGAATTGTTGAAATACAAGTTATGTTTGAGGCTGATGCTTTGCTTTGTAACATGCTCTCCATTCATTTTTTTTATTAAAAGAATTTAAAAAAATTGACAAGCCTGCCAGATTTCAAAGAACATATTATTGTTCCAAGAGCAATGCTTTGAACTTGGCTTAGCATGTGAGAGATGCCAAAGCAATAATTTCAGTGAGAAGATACTTGCTATTTGATAATTTTAAATTTATTCCAATTTGTATTATACAAATGTTATTTCTCTCCATGAAAAAAATACAGAAAGATGATTTCTTCTCCCTTCCGTAAATTTTATGAAGGATTTAAGGTTACAGAAAAATCCATATGATATAATAGAGACAAAAACTATTTTTCCTGGATTATCTTTTATCTGTCTGCTGTTTTTTGTTATAGAGCTAAATGGACAATGTTTGTCCATTTTTTTCTCAGTTACAATGTAAGTTTGTATATAGGAAGATTTACTTTTTTTACTGTAACTTCAAAAAATTAACTGGGATGGGGTTAGAAAGTAATTGAACTAGACACATATCACTAAGGCTAAATTAAAAAGGTAACGAAGGGTGTGAGTTAGTTTCAGCTCCAAGTGACAGAATATCCAGCAGTTTTCTTGGCAATAAAATGAAAATATCTTTTTCTTGGTCAAGTGGAAATAACATCCCAGAAGGCGACAGTGGCAAGCCACTTTCCTAACTTAGCCAAGAAAATTATTTGGAGTTGTCAACAGGAGTTAAAATTAATTAAAGGACATCTTTTTTAATACTATGTCTTCATTTTTAACTTTTGAGTACTTAAATAATTCATTAGAAACTGCTCATTTTTAGTATTTACAGGTTTTTATATTTGTGCTGTGTATACATATTTTGTAGTGTAAACTATCAGGGGTTGTCTCTTGAGCCTTGTTATACACAAGCATTCTATTCCTTGCAGGGGCCTTTTATACTATAGTCTTGAGGCCGTGTAGTTCCTTATTGCTAAGAGGTGCAAATGGTTAGAGACAGTTATCAAAGAAATCCCATGCAAATATTAGGTAAAGTATGTTTTTCACACAATGTAATAAGTTATCAGTAGAAAATTCAGGGGGAAAAATTAATTGATTATTGCAATACATTTTATGTGGGGTTCTCCTTGAAGAAGATTCAGATATATTTTAGTAAAGAATATGGTGCCAAAAGTCCTGACTAATTGTGGGAGATGATCATATTGTGAGGATTGTATTCTATTAAGTCCTTCATGGCTTTGAGTCACAGGAGTGCCTTTTTCTCTTATATTCATATTGGAGCCTTGTAGTTTTCATCAGAGGCCTATTATTAAGTACCTTCATTTGCTGATATGGCTAATGTAATGAGTGATTCAGAAACGGCTTTTTTAGTACTCTTGTGTCAGTGTGACATGCCATCCCTAGGGAGGGCTACTTTGTATTTCTACTTTCTGATTATGTGCCTGAACAAAAGCATCAGGTTTTCAAAGTTTGTGAGGAAAGTTATAAATAACTGCAACTTTTCAGAGTTTGTGAGGAATGTAACTACTAAATTAATTTTAATACAGTACGTTTCAAAATAACTTATTTCAGTGGGGGTGAACATGCTTGCATGCACAAACTTGGTTGATAGACTTCAAAATTCCCTATATCTTCAGAAATTTAGTCATCTAAAAGAGGGTGTTTTCTAGAATGAGGGAATTGTAAGAAAGTACTGGGTAAAAATATTTTTGCATGATTCATAGTTCTAAATTTAGCAGCATTTTTTCCATTCCCTTTCAAATACCAAGGTTTTGAACAATTACAGAAGATGGTAATACTAGGTTATTAATGAAATAAAAGCTTACCCATATCTTCTACATAAATATTCATTATTAGATATTTTATTGTGGAACACTCAGAAAAATGAGTCTTTTAAAATTATGAGAGATATGCTATTGTTGTCTGTATCTCTGTAATCATTAGTTTGTCTTCTGATGGAACATAACAGTTATATCTTTCTGCAGGTTCAGCAGCAAGTCCATCCCAACCTTTCAGCCAAGGAAGATTCCCTCTTTTACATCGAGGAACTAATTCTTCAGCTATTAAATAAATTATGCATTGCACAGCCACGGACATTTCAAGATGTGGAGGTATGAAT